ACCCCGATAGCCACTCGTGATGATCATGAATGGATCAGACGATTTTGAAAACAAATTTGGATCAAATTTGAAACATATGTTCTACATTCAATGAATAAAAATATATACTAGTAAATAAATGATCAAATTTAGGAATTAAAAATCAGTAAACCAGTTGATGAATTTTTGCGACAAACTATTTACGTAAAATAGCTGTCATATTTACTAAATTTCTTTCTAAATAAGTATGAGCGCAATATAACGTCATATGAACGATATTTCATGTATTCATACATTTACAAAAATTATCTGTAATTTGATGACGACATTACATGAAGAAAAGTTTATGCAAAAAAATGAATTATTACGATTATACACAAAATTGCATAAACATGCCATAATATTTATGAAGAAAAAAAAGTGATTTTAATTATTAAATCTTTACACCAAATTTACATCACATAAATTGTAAATTTGTTGTAAACTTTTGGTAAATTAAATAAAATAAAACGTCTGACTTGAACAACCGACAGACAGACCGCCGGGTTAATTTCTCGAATTTACAGACATAAAGACAATTTTGTTCTTCAGTCATCAGTTTTCGGTTACACTTTAACGCAATAAGTTGTCACGGAAATTTAAAAAGTGTTGGTTGTTATCCAATAAGTTACAGTTTTCAAAAATGTGAGTTACAAAATACATACATTAGGTATATCGTCTCAATAATAACTTCATGTTATAAAATAATCTTTTCTTTTAGTTATTATTAAACATAAGACTCTGGAATTTTGTTAAAGCGTTAGTATAGCTTTTCAAAAGCATCACTAATGCAAGCTAATAATTCAAGTAATCAAGACCTAGTCTATGAAGATCTAACAAATATATATTCAGTAGAGAAGCTGGATATTATCAACCACATATAATCCAGAATCCAGGAAAACATTAATAATACTACAACATCCTCGTACTTTTGAAGAGAAGATGTTAAAATCATTGTCAAATATGGAGTAAGTTTTGTCAGAAGATTTGGGCAATTTTATATCACTTCAAAGAAAATGAACACAGAAAAACAGTGACAGTGAATATGATATACCAAAAATTAATATAACCTTTATATATATACATAGATTTATTTAAACATATTTTTTATAAATTAATCATTTTTATATTCTTTTTGTTAAAACCATAGGTATAATATGTTTCATATAATTTCATAATATACTTTAAAAATGTAAAAGGAATTTATATAAAACATTAATTCTACAATATTTTTTTTGTATATGTATGTAGCTACTGTATAACGTAATACCAATAAATACGAAAATAATTGATTAAAATATTTTAATTGTATACAGTTTGCTAATTTATTTCAAACAATATATAATGAATTGTATAAAATATTACATACAATTGTAAATACAATTCATTATAAATACTTTGAAATAAGCATTTTAGCAAAATGATGTGTACGATTAAAAAATATTAATTGATTATTTTCAAATATGTATATACCTTTCAATTTTTTTACCGTCAATTATTTACCATCATATCATGAGTTAAAATTTATCTAAATATGATGAGAAACATTGCTGCATGTAGTACAGTAAATCTTGCCCTCATATGTGCCTCATAGGTTTCTTCATTTCAATGTCTTAAATGGTATGTCTATTTTACGTAAATTACGAAAGTAATTCAATTTACGAAAAGTTGTCTTCGTGTTTAGTATTCGTTTGACTCATGAAATGCAGACAATATGTTACAAATTTTTACGTTCACAAGGTGAGCAACCTTTACACATGTCGTGATGATACGAATTGTAAATTTTTCGTAAATATGAAGTAAATGTGGCTATCGGGGTATCCTGAGATGACCGATTCGCTGTATTACCATCAGTTTGCTTTTATTTTATCTACTCTAAAAAGTTAAAAAATATATACCAAGGGCTAAAAATATTGTTGCAGCTTTCCAGACATTCGGGAAAACGTTAGAGTCCGTTCTGAAGCCTTCCACGGCCAAAGTGCTGCAGTAGAACTGTTCTTTTACTGGTTTACAACGAGTGTACACTCCAAGACTAGATTTGTAAGTTAAGGTTCGGTTTCCGATTGTAATCGTTTTTAACGGGGCCAAAATCCATGAAGGGCTCGTAAGGGCTGATAGCATTAATAGCATCGCCACTATGCTTATCAGCACCCATAGTAGACTTCTGCTTGTTACTATCACGAAGCACATTGTCCTAAATTACATTTTCCTGCTTTGATCCAGGTAACAGTTATAGCATCTCATCTAAAAAAAAAATATATATACGTATACAAAGTGATTCCGTTTAAGTATTGTGATTTTTAAAGTAAGGGACACCGTGTATATTACAATTAATATTATTTTGACAGAGTCATCAATATATAAATATTATATATACTGTCAACGTGTTATATGTACATCTATTCAAAATAAACTAGAAAAACAATGGTGAAATCACCCACTTCGTCTATTACTGGTGCCAGGGTTTCAAGAGGAAGGCTATCAAAAAGTTCTAAAAGCAAAACTTCTTACAGCGCAATATGGGAAAACGATTTCGATTTATATTTTCAAAGATTATGCAATCAAGAAAACGTGTCAAACATCATAAATTTTACCGCTTTACAGGATGAACCATCTTTAAGGAGCTTTGGCAGTAATTTAAGCCTTGTACAGTAACTATTTGTTATGTTTTTATTACCTACTAACTTTTACCCCGCGACTTCGTTCTCGTCAGGGAGGATCCCTGACTCAAATAAAAAAAGAACAAAATCGGTGCAATCGTTTTGAAGATTAGCTCGCGGGAATCAACTATTTTTTTTTCATAAAAAAATCTGTTTGAACCATTAAATAAATCTCTAAAAGAAAAACCGGTAACGTTTCACGATAAATGTATCGCTCCCTAAAGCAGGTCATTTCTTATTATACTAAAACTATTTGCAGGATTATCTTAGCCTTTTATTAAGAAGAAAGAATCGCGCTTTTTATGAAATTTTTTAATTAATTTATTTATTAATCAGAGCCGGAAATCAAGAAGAAGCTCTCAACTTCAAGCTAATATATACAATACAATCCTTACTATATACGAAAATGCTGAAACAAAAACAAATCTTACAAAAATAATAATCAAATACTTAAAATTGCAACCAAAACTTATAGAAGTATTGGGTAAAGCACTAAAAAGTTTCAGCTCCGTTACAATTCTGAAGTAAGTGTTTCATTTTCATTTCATTCATGAATTCGTTACTCGATCTCGCACTTGTATTTTGCCTAGTTTATCAAAAAAAAAGTATTGTATCGGCGAGTTTCGACCCCAGGCCATCCTTGTGGCAGGCACTAACCGTGTATATGTTTATAACTAATGATCGTATACCACGCGGGCGGTCCAAGTTCGATTTCCGGCCGATTCTATATTTTTTTTACTTTTTTACCTTTTACTTTTTATATTAAAAGTAATACACACAATTTTTTTTTATTCTTTTTTTATATTTATCTNTGTTTCGATAGGATATTTTTATTTAAATAAGTAAATAAAAAATTATTATTTTGGTGTGAACCACATTCTTAAAACTACCGCACAGAGCATGGTTTTTTAAATAATAAATTAACGTAAAAATATTTTTAATTATGCATTACATTTTGAGATTTATTTTTTATTAAATTTTCTTCATTTATTATAGATTAGAATTTTGCAATTTGAAGCATGAACAAATTATATTGTTAAAAGAAATATTAAAAGAAAACATTAATATTACTGAACTTAGTATAGCTGGAAATCCCAACGAATTTCAAACATTTCACCAACTTTTGAAGAAAAATAAACTGGAATACGTGTCTATGAAATTATGTGAAATAGACGATAGGGGTGTAGAAAAAATTGCCAAGGTATTACGAGTGTTCGATCACCCACTAATTTATTTAAATCTATCCAGCAACAAAATATCATCAGAAGGTACAAAGCATTTATCTCAAATGCTACGAATTAATAGAAATTTGAAAGGTTTGAATCTATGTGATAACTGGATAACTGACGAAGGAGTTAATGTGATAATGGAAGCTCTGAAAAAGTTTTCTCTTTCACAAGACGAACTTTATATAAGAAGGAAGAGGATTTTTGATTATTTATTAAGAAGAAAAGATTTGGTAAAAAAGATTTTCTATACAGTAATTAGGATGCGAATAATATTACTGGAATCTATTCGAGTTTTACATTATTTCTTATTATTTTTCATAACTGAAATTTCTCCATCTCGAGTGGGGTACGAATTTCAATTTTAATTTTCTGCGGAGTTTTTATGCGGCACTATTACCACCATAAATTTTCACTGGGGAACTCAATATTATATTACGGACAGCAAAAAAGTGGATCGTAAAGTTACGTAAGGAAAAGGCAACACAAACGAAGTACTTTCCTTAATAAAAACTTGAACTTAACTGGTTACATATAGATAGTTCAAATTAGAGAAAATTGATTTATAAACATCATGCATATCAATTATGCAGTTCAAACCACAATTTTATTTTTTACTTGTTTCATTTCACATGGCCGGGCCTTAATAAAACCGCTAAAGCCAAATATAAATGCCAAACATCAACTTAATTAACTGAACAGCAGTTGTTTATTATTCAGGAGGCGTTTAATTAATAAAAGTTTCGTGTAGGGTTTCTTTGTATCATTTAAACCGGATGTACGAAAATTATTTCTAACTTCCAACACAGTATATTTATTATCCAATTGCTAGAATACTCATACATCATTTATTAATGTTCATGAAAAATTAATCAATAAAACCAACTTACAGCTGCTGAAAGGACTCGTAAGTCCAGGGTCTACTTCTGTCGAAATTACATCAAGCAGATCAAAAAAAAGTGCAAGCAAATTAAAAGATAGCACTGCCAAATTAATTAAAGGTTAAATAATCGATCATTATTTTTTTTATTTATCAAATTAAAAATAAAACAAAACATTTAAAATTATTAGGTAGGTCTTCAAGTATAATGAAAAAACGGCCTACTAGCGCATCAAGCAGTCGAAAATTTTCTACGCCTTCAAGCAGTAAAAGAATGAACGACGAATTTGAAAAATTATTAGGAAAAGATCTCCACCCCTTCGTAAAAGATTCCCAACCATCTGAGTTAGAAATATTCTGTACGGGAAATCTCACCCTTGTTCATTTAAATTTATCATGTACGTAAGTACTCCACATAATATACCTAAACTCAAAATATACAAATTAAATAGTTTATTTTAAGCATAATTACTTATAATTAAATGTATTGATTTAATTTTATTGATAGACATGCATGACACATGTATTCAATTTATTGCTTTTAAAATTGTATTGGTGCTGTAATTATATATACACGGTGTCCATTTCAAGTGTGACTAGTATTACTGTATCGGAAATGGTAAGTTATATCTATTAAATTAGACAAAATGGGCAATTTTTACGATTAAGTAATTCGTTTACAATACTTAATTTCTGATGTACAGGTTTTTTTTTTTTTTAAATTGTCTAAAACTTCAAATTAAAATAACATCAAAGCAAAACAAAATATAAGAAGACGTTTAGACACATTTATTTGCTTTTCTGTGCAGAGTACGATTTTCGAATTACAACTATTAAATTTCTAGCAATGCTGGTCCCTTCAGATGGACAAAATAGAAAATATTTTTAGTACCTAGTTATTAAACATGTGCTTCTACGTACAAAAGACACGTTATTCATATAATCAATAATCTCCCCAACCCTCTATATTTGAAGACGAAAATAGCACTAATCAATCAAATATTTTTCTTATCTTACGGACACACCTAGGTATAACTTTGTCGTCAATAATTTAGTCATTACCTACAAGGGTTAAAGACCTTTAGTGAATATTGGATGTAATATATTAATGTTTTTATAGCGGCGTTATATATGCACATTCATTATTCTTTAAATTTAATGTTCATAATTCTGTCTTACCCACTTGTTTAATATATTTTTTATGAGTTTTTAGATAGTAAAGTGTATAATAGATGTCTCCCACGTTAAAATGTGTTCTATTTTTTTGACAAACACTGTATATAAATAACTTTTAAATCAAACGTGGTAATAAAACATGAAAATTTGTTTGTAGATAATAAAATCACAAAAGATGGTATTCAGGATATTATAAACACTTTAATTCATCAAGACACTATTATACTAAATAAAGAAGAAGGACTCTCGAGCATTGTGCTAGAAGGATATCCTGATTGCATTGATAAATTAAAGGAAATTATAGAAATAATTTATCATAAGTTGACGAAAACGTATACAATCAGTAGTAAAACTTTGACAAATTCCAGTTTAAGAAAAAATAGATCAACCAGTAGAAAATCCATTTAAATTAAATTATAGTATCTAATGTACCTATTTGATTTGTAGGCTATTTGTACTTTTATCTAATCAGAATTTAAATACAATTTAAAACAAGTGTTACCTTGTTTTAAATATTTGTTAAGTACATATAGTTTAAAATTTTTATAAACAATTCGTAAGCATGCATTCAACAAGTAATAGCGCAGTAGTGTATGTGAAACATTCGGATGATAAATTATTAAATAACTCACCTATTTTACGCGAAAGTCTTATAACTGTTGTATTAGGCATACGGTTTGTTTTAAAATATACATTTTATTACAACCATCAACCATCCAAATATCGCACCACACCCGACCACTGCACAGCATGTTTTATTGTTGATGGTGGTGGTATGTCAGAGATCGTCGGCCAATAATGGCTTATTAGTTATTACACTTATGAATTGCGATTAGGATTTTATGTTTTAATAACTTCATGGTAATCTGCATGCAATTAAATAAAAAATTTAACCGGACATTCGTTTCTATCATTATTTTTCTTTGTTGAAAACGGAATAATTTGTGGGTAAATATTTACATTTATTTCATTCTCATTTCAATCATACATAATAAAATTATTAGAATCTATGAAAAAGGATTTAAAATAACCGACCGTTAACTAACCAAAATTACACAGCCTTTCTTGAAACTTCAAAACTTCTAGATAAATAACTTCTAACCTATCCCATAACTTCAATCACTCTTTTAAAAAAACGAAAGTTTAAACATTTTGAAGCCCCAAAGTAGTATCGGATGATAATCGGATGTATGTTTGAAATCCTTTTTCATAAAGTTTTACAAGATGCCTAATTTTGTTGTATGCCTATGTTGTACGACACATATACATGTATTGCTTGCATCAAGCATAGGCGTAGCTAAAAGCTTTTCAAAAGGCTACTGAAAAATCTTGTAGTTGCTGACTTGTTCAAAATTTAATAACCAGATCACAGAGACCTAAAACTATGTCACAAATTACAAAAGTATTCGTTTATGGCACTCTTAAAAAAGGAGAGCCAAATCATGGTTGGTTTTCAAAAGACGAAAGTGGATATCACAAATTCTTATGCACAGCGGAAACTACTGAAAAGTACCCTCTAATTATTGCTACAAAATACAACATTCCATTTATTTTACACGCTCCAGGTGAAAATATATGTATATTTCTAAGGATACATTAAATATTATTTGCCTTTTTTTTTGTTTACGACAGGAAACGGATTTTTTATTAAAGGCGAAGTGTACGAAGTTGACGAAAAGGTTTTAAAAAATTTGGATATTTTGGAGGAACACCCCGATTATTATGAAAGGGAAAAACGAAATGTTCGAAGTTTGAACGGGGATGACGAAATAATGAATGTGTGGATTTATTTCATAAAAAGATTTAAACCAGAATTACTAAATAATCCAATGTATGATAATTATTCAAGTAACGGCAGTCACGGCTTGGAATATGTAAGCAGGTACAATCGTAACCAATATTATAACTATAAGCAGGAAATAATTAATTATAATTAAACATAATTACTTCATTTGTAGTGAACAATCGACTTTAGAAGATTTGAATTAAATAACAGATACTTGTAAGTCTAATTTTACCTTTTTTCTAAACCCTGGCTAACAGAAACAAATGAAATGTAAGTCAGTGGCGACTCGTAGGTATGCTGTTTAAAATTTAGATGAGCGGTTTTTGGCAATAATGACCTAACTTTTTTTATTTTGTTCAAAGTTTATTGCTTTTTGATAATTTTAAATACTAACAATGTACAATGCCCTTTCCAAAAGGTCACTGTTGGCCCCTGATTTTTGCTTTGATTATTTAAGTGGAAAGTAAAGAAAATGCAACTCTTTCTTCATGATAAAATTACTTTATTAAAGAAAACATCATGTCACAAAAGATGTATTTCAATATTATATTTAATAACAAAATATGTTGCAAAATGACAAAAAAATAAAATTATGAAAGCAAAAAATTACGTTTAAATAAATTCAACATTTTTCCACCTTATTTTTTGTATTGTAACAGTACTGCTTTTTCCAATAATCTAATGATCACAATTAGAAACATTTGTTAAGAAACAAAAACAGTCTGTTCCACATGACACTACACATCTTAATGCAAATTTATTTCCTTTTCTAATACTAGCTGTCATTGCTGAGAGTATTGTAACGGTTACCAAGGTTCAGTTTAGGTCCTTGAGAACTGGAAATCTTTGATTGTTCAGCTTGTCGGATTGAACTAGACTTGTTATGGGAAACTACCTCAAAAGAGCCTTCATTGCGAATTCTGAAAATAGTTATATGAACATTTAGTAAGTAATGTTATGGTCAGATAAATACTTATGATATAATATAAGCCTTCATAACTAATCTTACAGTTCTCCTCCCTCGATGATGTCTTAGGAGAAGAACTATAATCATTAAGCCTTGAAATCATCATGAATACTTACTTTCTATCAGTTTTTGTACTTGATAAGCTAGGAAAAAAGTCTTCATTATGAATATCAGGGGCTGTTTTACTTTTCAAGCGAGAGGTTTGCAGTGTTTGCTGAGGCGGCTGATTTCTCATACTAGGTGGTACATAAGCACCTGGGGTGCTTGTGGGGGTTGGTTGACTCACAGGTTCAGGTTTCTTCTCTTTTTTTTCTTCTTGTTCAGCATGTTGAGCAGATATTTGCTTCCATGGTCCAGTTCTTCTTTCAAATTCACCACCTCCCTCTTCACCAGGTCTTTGCTCTGAAGTGTTCTCTGAATTGCCACTGGAACCTTCCTGGGAATTAATAGTTAGATTTCCTATTTTAAGACCAGAATAATCTTTTTTCTCTTCTTCAAATTCTTTCCATTCATCTTGATCCTAAAGGATAAAAAAAATTAAATATGGCCGACTACATTTTGTTTTTAATAAAAAATTGCAATTAACGGTAATATATATATAACTCACCCCGACTGGAGCACCAGCTTCTTCGCCCTCTTGAGGGCGTTCTTTCTTTGTTGGCTTATCGGTTTTTTTGGAAGTATCCTCTAACTTTTTAGCTACTTCTTCTGTGGTTGTAAATTTTTTACCTTTGGACTTTTTACGATCTTTTTTAGCGAAAAAGTCATCCAAATCTGCCATTATACAAAATTTAACAAAACAAAATTCGTAATAAGAATACAATTACAATTTTTCTGTTATTTTTATAGAAATATTGTACAATTTCACGTGTTATAAAATTTACTGACACTTGGCCGAATTGCTGACAAATGACATGTAACTGCATGTAACGAATAACCTTGTTCATAGACAAAAATCTTGTCTATGGATTAATCTAAGCGAATAAGAATAACTGGCTGTATATTTCTGTATCTATGAGAATAACGATAAACGTGTAACAAGTAAGACAAGGAAAAGACATCATGGAATTTTGACAGAGGTTTTTCAAAATTCGGACTAGTAATTTCAAAAATTAAATAACGATTAAAAAATGATTTTCATACTAAAAATTATTAAATAAACGTACTTATAGTTAGTTAATAACTGTTTCAAACATGGCAATATGAGTAGCATTCCATTTCCAGAAAATATCCCAGGGTCGGAACACTCACATCAAATTAGGAACAAACAAATGACAAAAAATTGTAAATTGTCCTTTACAAATATTAATTGTTATCATTGATACTTGTTTGTTATAGAAAAGGACTACGAAAAACAATTTAAAATAGATTTATTTTATATATTTAGCAGTTTATTTAAAATACATCCCAACATTATAACAATAGGAGCACA